TGGGGGTCATCCTTAACAACCCCCTCCTCCCCCTTTCACTGCACCCACCCCCAAGCCCTCGTGAATCTATCCCTAAGCATCTCTGGAATAGATTCACTTCTCTCTGCTCCACTGCCCCTAGCAGGCTTACCACCACCTTTCAGGTCTGGAAGCGTGTCTCTATCTTTGGGGACCATCAGCCCAGCAGGCAGAGGGACCCCAAATCTGCGTATGCAAACCTGTCACACCATCTCCTGGTTACTGCAATGACTTCTCATTGATTTAACTATCATCCCAAGGCCTCACCTGGCCTCCAGGGGACCCTGCCCCTTCGGGTCCTATTACCTCAGTGCCTCTTCCCTGGTCATCTTTCCCTCTCTCCCACATTCCAGCTACACTGTCTTCTATTCATTTGCCCACTCAACAGACATGTGATACCCCAATAAAGCACAAGTCTAGCCCTGGAGATACAGCAGTGAACAAACACGTAAGTCAGGTAATGACAAGTGGAAGGCCTTGGTGGTTCAGTGGTAGAATCCTCGCCTTCCACGCAGGAGTCCCCGGTTCAATTCCTGGCTAATACACCTCATGTGCCGTCCCCACCTGTCAGTCAGTGGAGGCTTGCCTGTTGCTATGATGCTGAACAGGTTTCAGGGGAGCTTCCAGACTCAGACAGATAAGGAAGAAAGGCCTGTGGATCTCCTTCTGATAATCGGCCAATGAGAGCCCTCTTGATCACAATGGTCTGATCTCCAACCAACTGTGCGGGTGGCGCAGGGCTAGGCAGGGTCTTGTTCCACTGTGCACAGGGTCACTGTAAGTCAGGAGCCTGCTTGACAGCCACTGACAAACACAATAGTGACAGGTGAAATGAAGAAAAAGGAAGTCAGGCAACAGGCTAAAAGAGGGACATAAATACTGCTTTGGCTACACCTTGCTATAAGGAGGTCTTCTTTGAGGTGTGGGAGTGAGGTGTGAGAAGACCTGGGGTACGGCTCCTGACTGAGAGCCAGCGGGGACAGTCTCTGGGGAAGAAGTGGCTGGTCATGTCCAGGGTGGCTGGAGAGAAGGGAGAGTGGTGGGAAATCAGGAAGAGAGAGGGACCCGAGCCCAGACAGGCCTAGCAGGCTGTGGTCAGCAGGTGGACACTGCTCCACAGGCAACAGAGAATATAGGGGGTGTGAGCAGGGCAGTGATGTGTTCTGGCTGCTGCCATGAGGGCAAGGGTGGACACTGGGAGCCAGGGAGCCCACTGACGATGTCACGGAGATGCTGTGGCCAACCTAGTGATGCAGAAAGGTGGTCAGATTTGGAGCTCATTCTGAGGTAGGGCAGACAGATCCCTGAACTTGCAGGTTCCTTCTGAGAGGATCCCACTCCCCTTCCTCCTCACCCTTCATTTCTCAGCCAAAACCAAAAAACAAAACCTCTGCCATCTAGTTGATTCTGAAGTCAAATGCTGAGCTGCCTGAAGAGGTGACAAGGGGTTGTCTCAATTCCTTAAAGCCAATGAAAACACCGGTGGTTGTCTCTCAGTTCCAAACCCACTTTCTGCCCCTGCTGGCACGCAAGATGACTCTGCAAACCACACTGGGGCTTCACCCACTGCTCCCTGTCAGACTATGCCCATAGGGGGAGCCAGAGGGAGGACACAGACTGCAGGAGGGAGAAATTTGTCTCTTCCCACCAGCCACTCCTCGGAAGGAAGGTTGGGCAATCCTACTTCCGTAGTGATACTGCCTTGGAAACCCAAGGAGGGGCCGACTGGAAGGCAAATAACAACAACAGCAACA